AGTTCTATGACTTAGGCTATTTATAGCCAAAACATAAAATATGAAAGGAAAAAAAGAAGATGTCCAAAATTGTAGGTGGAAAAGGTTTGTAGGCTATTTCCGTAACTTATCATTTACCATCCATTCTTCATTCCAAAATTAGCATATATATATTATAATATTAACCACCGTCCATTCTCATTTCCAAATTCACACTTATATTACTATTCATAGTCAAACTATGAATAGTAAATGATAAGTTACGGAAATAACCCCTGAACTATTTGTCACTTGTTAATTTTGGAGGTAACTTTTCCACATCATCATCATCAGGACTTTTCCCTAATTGCTGAAAATAATTTGTTACCCAAAATTAATGTAAGAGACAGAAGTAAGGCATCAAAACTGGTTAATAATTTCTATAAATTTCTTTCTTTTCCGCTTGGCCATTACATTTCTCCCAGTTTGTTCCTTTTGAGGAAGTAGAACTCGCTTCTCTTTTATCACATACGGTGTTGAAGACGATGCCCAGTTCACAATATTCAAAACAGGGACATTTCTTTGCTCCTAGGAACACCAACAAACGAGTTATGAAGTAATTAATGATTACAAAAACAAACTTCCAAAAACATTATTTATATAGTCTATTAAACTATTGACAGCTGTCTGATCACTTTCTGTATATTTTGGGTTAGATTGCTGTTTCTAGGCTTACTATTTCAATTGTTTTTTAAACCTTCAATGATTTTAGCCAAGAAATGAAGGGGAAAGAGTTATATATAGAAGATACCTGATATTCGAGTGCAGTTTCAATCTTTTTCACGATCAACTCCATAGAAGGGCGGTTCTTTTGCTCTCTTTCCAAACATTCATACGCGAGTGTTACAAAGGTATCAAAAGATCTTTCTTCCATTTGTTGCAGTAGATTAACATCGATAATTGTATCCCTGATTGTCTCTTTAGAAGAGTTCTTCACAAATGCAGGTAGGGATCTCCGCATATCATCATAACTATAATCAACACAGAGCCTTGAGCACAATACTTCAAATAACACTACGCCGAAAGAATAGACATCTGATTCTTTCTTATAAAATGATGTTTCTAGAAACACAGGATCACTATACCCAAGAGTGCCTTTGGGTTTAGGGACTAGAATCGAGTGTTTTTGGTTTGAAGGGCTATATTTGGAAAAACGAAAATTTGCAATTTTGGCATTCCAGTTCTTGTCCAACAAGATGTTAGCACTTCTGATATCACGATGTAGGAGTCTTTGTTGGCCTCCCCTAGGATTGTGAAGGTACTCCAAGCCACGTGCAGCCCCAAGACATATTTTGAGACGTTGAACCCATGTCAACTTGGGGTCACGTAGATGATTTTCAAGGCTTTTCTTTGGTGCATACTCATACACAAGGATCCTTTCCTTACTTTGATTGCAGAAGCCGAGGAGTAAGATGATATTTTCATGTTTATATTCTGAAAGCAACACGATATCTCTCCAAAAATCAGCGTCCCCTAGATTATTTGAAGGATTCAAGCGCTTTACAGCAGCCATGGTTGAACCGTTAGATTGGAGGAATTCTCCCCTATACACCTTCCCAATTCTACCTTCGGCAAGGAAGTTGTCATCACCAAAGTAATTGGTGGCCTGTTTTATGTATTCAAGTGGAATTTCGAGGTGCTGATACTCACTCATGAAAGAGGACATTGTGATAGTTGTTGACTAAAATGGAGATTATAATCGGAAGGATTGAGAGAAGTGAGCTAATGATACAATTTTTTTCGAGTAACATGATGTTGTATTTAACATAATGGATGATGCTTAGTCAGTCAACTCCTCCCTCCTTCCCGGAATAACCTTCTATCTCAAGGACATACATGATAAAAGTGAACATTACATTTTTAAATCGTTCTATTTATATTATAGATTTTTATAAAACTGGTTGGGACTTCTTTTTACCAATTTTTCTTTAAATATAGTTCATTGTGGACTTGCCTAGATATGGAATATAAAGTGTTGATGTTTGATTTTAAAATGTAAAAGTATAGGAGACGTTTATGTGGTATGGCCTAATTACGTTTAATAAATAAATAAATAAACACACCATTAGGAAATTAATTTGGACAAAATAGTAGTAAAAAGGTTTTCATTTCTTTTTTTAAACAGCTAGCATGCAAAATTCTAAAAAACTAGTAAAAAGTTACAAGGTACAAATAAAAACAGAAACATAAAACCAGATAGACAAGAGAACAAAAAATTAAAGACAATTGGGTTTACATTCCAAAGGTCAAAAAACGAGAACGCAGAAATCGAGGTTTTTAGTATTTATTTTGGGTAATTAGGCCATAGTAAACCAAGAATCGATCTCACACTCTATAAAAATGAAAAGTCAAATTAGATTTTCATCCTAGGCCTAGTTTTAGTCAATCATGTCTTAACGCATATTGAACATATTTCAAACTTACGATTTATGTTAATTAAATACATAACATCATGTTAGTTGAGAATTATGTATTGATATATAGCTTCTTCCAATCACTCCCATCATTAGTCGAGTACTAAAGCAATGTCGTCCTCTTTCAGGATAGAGTTTGGGCACCTCCAAAATCCACTAAAATCCATCACAATGCACCAACAACTTTGTTGAATGTTACTTCGGAAGGTGCATATAATAACACTACTAGAAAACAAGTGTTTTACCTACGGAAAATTTTCGTAGGTAATTATCGATGGAATACCTACGAAATTGAATGTCCTAATTTAGTAACGAAATTATGATAGAATAGCTATGGAAGAGTTACAGAAGTAAATCAATAGGTATTTCGTCGGTATTACCAACGGAATAACTACAAAATAGTGACGGAATACATAATAGCTACGGAACAAAATAACTACGAAATAGCTACGAGTTTATAATTTACATTATTATTATTATTATTATTATTATTATTATTATTTATTGAAGTCTTAAAATGTATTTTGTTTTTGGTTCATTTTTTACATATTTAACACACGAACAATGAAAAATCATACTAATAGTACAATAATATATATATATATATATATATATATATATATATATATATATATATATAT